TAACGAGCTTGTTTGCCCATATAATCTTTAGGAAATTAGGTTTAAACTTATTTGGGTTGCTGTCCTCTGATGAGAGGCTCAAGCTCTGATATACCCCCAGAGAGACTTAATACAAAGGGCAAGGTACCTAAGATAAATGTGGAGATTTGGGGAGGTGGAGGGATGCTGGAACAGCTGAGACTGAAGAGAGGTAAGCAGCTGCTTATATTCTCTGGCTGCTGACTGAAAGATTAGATGGGCTCGCTCCTCCCTAACTTACGTTTAGAAATATGTTTAACATTTGGGCAAACGGAGTGACAGCATGAACACAAACTCTTAATCTCAAGAAAATCACCTCACCCCATAACATAAAACGGACAATTCTAATTATTTTAATTCAATATATTATTTATATTGCATTATCAAATATATTAATTTGAAATAAAAATACAAAATATTTATTAAATTTAAATACTGATATATATATATACACTCACAGGCCACTTTATTAGGTACACCTGTTCAATTGCTTGGTAACACAAATTGCTAATCAGCCAATCACATGGCAGCAACTCAATGCATTTAGGCATCTAGATGTGGTGAAGACGACTTGCTGAAGTTCAAACCGAGCATCAGAATGGGGAAGAAAGGGGATTTAAGTGACTTTGAACGTGGTCTGAGTATTTTAAAAAACTGCTGATCTACTGGGATTTTCACACACAACCATCTCTAGGGTTTACAGAGAATGGTCCAAAAAAGAGAAAATATCCAGTGAGGACGAAAATGCCTTGTTGATGTCAGAGGTCAGAGGAGAATGGGCAGACTGGTTAGAGATGATAGAAAGGCAACAGTAACTCAAATAACCACTCGTTTACAACCAAGGTATGCAGAATAGCATCTCTGAACGCACAACATGTCGAGCCCTGAAGCAGATGGGCTACAGCAGCAGAAGACCACACCGGGTGCCGAAACGGGGGCTACAATTCGCACAGGCTCACCAAAATTGAACAATAGAAGATTGGAAAAACATTGTCTGGTCTGATGAGTCTCGATTTCTGCTGCAACATTCAGATGGTAGGATCAGAATTTGGCGTAAAGAACATGAAAGCATGGATCCATCCTGCCTTGTCTCAACGGTTCAGGCTGGTAGTGGTGGTGTAATGCTGTGGGGGATATTTTCTTGGCACACTTTGGGCCCCTTGGTACCAATTGAGCATCGTTTAAACGCCACAGCCTACCTGAGTATTGTTGCTGACCATGTCCATCCCTTTATGACTACAGTGTACCCATCTTCTGATGGCTACTTCCAGCAGGATAATGCACCACAAAGCTCAAATCATCTCAGACTGGTTTCTTGAACATGACAATGAGTTCACTTTACTCAAACGGCCTCCACAGTCACCAGAACTCACTCCACTGGAGCACCTTTGGGATGTGGTGGAACGGGAGATTCGCATCATGGATGTGCAGCTGACAAATCTGCAGCAACTGCGTGACGCCATCATGTCAATATGGACCAAAATCTCTGAGGAATGTTTCCAACACCTCGTTGAATCTCTGATTGAACTGATTGTTGTATTGTTAAATAAATTAGGCCTAATACAGAAACATAATAGTCATCTGATCCAGGATCGGTGAAAACAACAAGAAGAACAGCAGAGCATTCAACTTTCACTCGTTCTGGCGTGTATAAATGCTAAACACACACATTCAGAGCAACACACACACGTCAGCAGCCACCAGGCCTTCACCGCAGCACTGAACCAAACGTCTTCATTTGAATGTCAGCGCACTGTATGTTTATTGCTCTGGTCACGGCAACGTCTCCCTCTCTCTCTTTTCTGGGATGTTTCCCTCTCCGCGGTTCCATTACTCACCTCTGTATTCTGCTGGCTAAGTCTGCTGGCTAAGCGCAGTGAGCTCCAGTTTAAATCTGACGCTTCTGTGATAAGATGGAAAATCTGGTTATGCACTGTAGAGTTTGCTGTTTTTAAAAAAAAAATGTTTTATTTGTTTCTCATCAAGTCTAGCATACCTCAGTCATGAGAGCTTTTCTAACTGGACTAGCTTTTTCTTGTATGAAACACTTAGTTCCGGTCCTTAAATCTGACTTTAGTGATCCAAGAAAGCTTGTTGCTTTGGCTCATTTTCAAAGTTATTTGAAACATAACTATATTTTAACCAAAGGTAAAGAAATGCCATTCCATATTGCCAGAATGGTCTCAAAATAATATTCCATACACAACTTAAGCCCCATTTGGAGTTTTGTTGATCCAATCTTGTTGATTACCACAGAAAATAATGTAATCTCATCCCTCAGTATGTCAACTTGAATTAAAACCCGTAGGCCTATTTACAGTAATAGTCTTACAAAACTTACTTTAAAAAAACGAAATAAAAATGCACATATCATACTTTTCCAAAGTTTAAAACAGATAAACCAAGGCCATAACCATGAACACTGATTAGACCAATTTAAAATTTTGTTTAAAATAAAGTATTTATATGGATTTAGGGGAATAAAAACTGCTGATCTACTGGGATTTTCACACACAACCATCTCTAGGGTTTACAGAGAATGGTCCAAAAAAGAGAAAATATCCAGTGAGGACGAAAATGCCTTGTTGATGTCAGAGGTCAGAGGAGAATGGGCAGACTGGTTAGAGAAAATAGAAAGGCAACAGTAACTCAAATAACCACTCGTTACAACCAAGGTATGCAGAATACCATCTCTGAACGCACAACACGTCGAACCCTGAAGCAGATGGGCTACAGCAGCAGAAGACCACACCGGGTGCCGAAACGGGGGCTACAATTCGCACAGGCTCACCAAAATTGAACAATAGAAGATTGGAAAAACATTGTCTGGTCTGATGAGTCTCGATTTCTGCTGCAACATTCAGATGGTAGGATCAGAATTTGGCGTAAAGAACATGAAAGCATGGATCCATCCTGCCTTGTCTCAACGGTTCAGGCTGGTAGTGGTGGTGTAATGCTGTGGGGGATATTTTCTTGGCACACTTTGGGCCCCTTGGTACCAATTGAGCATCGTTTAAACGCCACAGCCTACCTGAGTATTGTTGCTGACCATGTCCATCCCTTTATGACTACAGTGTACCCATCTTCTGATGGCTACTTCCAGCAGGATAATGCACCACAAAGCTCAAATCATCTCAGACTGGTTTCTTGAACATGACAATGAGTTCACTTTACTCAAACGGCCTCCACAGTCACCAGAACTCACTCCACTGGAGCACCTTTGGGATGTGGTGGAACGGGAGATTCGCATCATGGATGTGCAGCTGACAAATCTGCAGCAACTGCGTGACGCCATCATGTCAATATGGACCAAAATCTCTGAGGAATGTTTCCAACACCTCGTTGAATCTCTGATTGAACTGATTGTTGTATTGTTAAATAAATTAGGCCTAATACAGAAACATAATAGTCATCTGATCCAGGATCGGTGAAAACAACAAGAAGAACAGCAGAGCATTCAACTTTCACTCGTTCTGGCGTGTATAAATGCTAAACACACACATTCAGAGCAACACACACACGTCAGCAGCCACCAGGCCTTCACCGCAGCACTGAACCAAACGTCTTCATTTGAATGTCAGCGCACTGTATGTTTATTGCTCTGGTCACGGCAACGTCTCCCTCTCTCTCTTTTCTGGGATGTTTCCCTCTCCGCGGTTCCATTACTCACCTCTGAAATCTGCTGGCTAAGCGCAGTGAGCTCCAGTTTAAATCTGACGCTTCTGTGATAAGATGGAAAATCTGGTTATGCACTGTAGAGTTTGCTGTTTTTTTTAAAAAATGTTTTATTTGTTTCTCATCAAGTCTAGCATACCTCAGTCATGAGAGCTTTTCTAACTGGACTAGCTTTTTCTTGTATGAAACACTTAGTTCCGGTCCTTAAATCTGACTTTAGTGATCCAAGAAAGCTTGTTGCTTTGGCTCATTTTCAAAGTTATTTGAAACATAACTATATTTTAACCAAAGGTAAAGAAATGCCATTCCATATTGCCAGAATGGTCTCAAAATAATATTCCATACACAACTTAAGCCCCATTTGGAGTTTTGTTGATCCAATCTTGTTGATTACCACAGAAAATAATGTAATCTCATCCCTCAGTATGTCAACTTGAATTAAAACCCGTAGGCCTATTTACAGTAATAGTCTTACAAAACTTACTTTAAAAAAACGAAATAAAAATGCACATATCATACTTTTCCAAAGTTTAAAACAGATAAACCAAGGCCATAACCATGAACACTGATTAGACCAATTTAAAATTTTGTTTAAAATAAAGTATTTATATGGATTTAGGGGAATAAAGAAGAGTAGCCTACAAAAACGTGATTTTTCGTAATATATTTAAATTATTTGCAAATAATATTTTTTATTTAAATTACGAATAAGACTGAATGCGTGTATAATATGCTGAAAAAAACGGTTAAATGTCACATTATGAAATACATGAATTAAATGGTTCATCCTATATTTTCAATTCAAACCAGTGAAATTTGACTAAAAAAGTCGAGATGTTTGCATCACAGGATAATAATGTGGGTCGTTTAATATTTCTATCGTAAAACAGTTGTTAAAAGGGAAATATTGAGCGACTTACCTCACAATCCTCAACCGTTAAAAACGGAAGCGCCTGGTTGAAATTCGCGCTGGAATAGTGAAGCCCCGCCTTCTTTGATTTGATTGGCTCATTCATTTTGAGTCCAAATGTTACTTTTTTCCTTCTTTTTATATATATATATATAATTTTTGTCAATCTAACAACAAATAGAGCAACTGTTAAAACTACAGTTGAAAGTATAAACACTTTTTAAAAAAATGTGTGCATCATTTTAAACATGTTCACAACTATTCGCTTCTTTAGCTGTGAAATAACAGGCCGCTAAATAAGCCATAATAATGCAAAATATAGAATATTGAATATAATCAATCAGAAGGGCAGGCTCCTCCAGACGGTGGGAGGTGTGCGGTGGGCTGGACTCTGTGAGAAAGGACTTCTTCCATTGCGCGCAGACAGATTACTTTCCTGAGGTCTGAACTTCTGCACATTAAAGATGGAAATATAACAGTTCCTATTTCAACAAAACTCGACACGAATGGGTCTCCGTGAAGAAACTCTGCGGTTCGTGATACCTGATGGTGAGTGGTGTGTCAGATATTTAAACACATTTTCTATGCGATACTAACTTTTATGGAAACTATATTTTGTTGTGCTGGTTTTTAAATGACTGTCATTCAATCTGCAATCATGCGCACCACAGCAAGTTCAATGCAAACTAAGTAAGTTTTGTGCATCGAATTATTCTAGATCATAGTTCAGTAAAGGTTGCATGCAATGCATGTTACATTACTCTAACAAAGAGTAGGCTGTTGAAAATTCAGATGGTGTTTAATGTGTTAATATAAAGCATAATAGCTGGTTAAGGTGGACATGGTGGGTGGTCAACCAGCAACCATTAACCAGCTATTATGCTTTATATTAACAGCTAATGACCCATTTAAACCAGCTATATGTTATAAGAAGCAACTGCTTCTAAGAGAGTAGTACCATGTTTTCCTTTGAAATAGGATACCTTGCAAAAGTTTGGGGTCAGTAAGATTAATTTTTGAAAGAAAGTATCCAGCAAGGATGCATTAAATTAGTCAAAAGTAACAGTAAAGACATTCATAATGTTTAAAAAAAAGATTTACGTATATTTCATATAAATGCTGTTCTTTTGAACTTTCTATTCATCAAAGACTTCGCTTCTACTCTTTTCAACATTGATAATAATAGTTTCTCGAGCAGCAGATCAGCATATTAGACTGATTTCTGAAGATCATGTGACACTGAAGACTGGAGGAATGATGCTGAAAATACAGCTGTGCATCACAGAAATAAATTAGATTTTGAAATATATTCAAATGGAAAACAGATATTTTAAATTGTAAAAATATTTCACAATTTTTACAGTACTTTTAATCAAACAAACGAGACTTCTTTCAAAAACGTGAAAAATACAGACCCCAAATTTTGAACAGTATTGTACAGTACCTTGAAGTGGCGTGTATATATATATCTAGAGGCACTGTATGTTTTGTACAACTACAAGGCTAATTTGTTCGAGATAGTGATCTTACTTTATGCATATTGGAAAAGTATTTCAGATGTTCCAGCTGTGTTAAAGTCAAGTATACATGAAACATATTTGAGTGAAACCAAATCCAGATCTGACTGGATCATGGTGTCATTATAGTAGCTGTCTTTAAAGCACATCTGGTTGACTCCACAGGCAGATGTGTGTCACCGACATGACAGTAAAGGGTGATGATTGACAGGTAAACCCAGAAGAAAGCATCGACCCGCTCGCCAACACCCATCCGTGACCCGTCTTACCGGTGCGATCCAGTCCAAATCCTCCCGCAATGATCAACCAGCACATTTCCCTGCATTACAACTACACTGGGAAACTAAGCATCCGCAATGACACCGAAGGCGCCCCGTTGGACCCCAGAACGGCGGTGTTTTTGGTCGTTTGCAGCCTCATCGTCTTGGAGAACCTAATAGTGCTGGTGGCCATCTGGCAAAACCACAAATTCCATAAACGGATGTACTTTTTTATCGCCAACCTGGCTCTGTGCGACTTGTTAGCCGCCGTGACTTATATAGTCAACCTGCTGATGTCAGGACAGTGGACGCTACACTTGTCTCCAGCCGAGTGGTTTGTTCGAGAAGGGAGTGTGTTTGTAGCATTAGGTGCTTCTATTTTCAGCTTACTTGCGATTGCGATTGAACGCCACCTTACTATGATCAAAATGAGGCCTTATGACGCAAGCAAAAACTACCGGGTGTTTCTGCTCATAGGAACGTGCTGGCTGATCGCGATCACTCTGGGAGCACTGCCTGTTTTAGGCTGGAACTGTTTAGAAGATCTTCCTCAGTGCTCCACCATCTTACCGCTTTACAGCAAGAGCTACGTCGCGTTCTGCATCACCATCTTCATCTCGCTCCTGCTGGCCATCTCCGTCCTCTACGCCCGCATTTACGCCCTGGTGAAGAGCAGCAGCCGCAAAGTCACCAAGCACAGCAACTGCGAGCGCTCCATGGCCCTCCTGCGCACCGTCAGCATCGTGGTGGGCGTCTTCATCGCCTGCTGGACGCCCATCTTCGCGCTGCTGCTCGTCGACGTGGCCTGCGGGAACAAAAAGTGCCCGGTTCTGCTCAAAGCCGATTGGTTCGTGGCGCTGGCCGTCTTGAATTCCGCCATGAACCCCGTCATCTACACGCTGGCCAGCAGGGAGATGCGCCGGGCGTTTTACAGGCTCGTGTGCGGGTGTCTGCTGAACGGTGCGACGGGGTGCAAGCAGAACACGGACCCCAGCCGGAGCAAATCCAGCTCCAACTGCCCTCAGGCGGCCGAACAGGAAAACCCAGACGCCAATGCACAGAATCAGACTAACACAAGCCGAAGCACTCAGTGTGTTTGCTGAAATGCACACACTACTGCATTAGTGCATGCTACAGAACTTTTTTAAGTGCACAATAAAGCATCAGCACATGTTAAGTGCATATTGAACAGTGGAAAAAACGTCCCGAGATCCCAACAAATCTGCAAAAAATGTTTCTTACTCAGTATTTTTGCCATTTTTCAGTGCAAATATATAAACATTCTTAACTCAAAACTGAAACAGAAAAAAAGATAAGAATTCATGTTTTCTGAAAAATGTATGAAAATCTAACTACGTTTTTGGTTAATACAAGAAAAAATATCTGTCTATGGGGTCAGAAAAAATCATTTTCTCTTTGAATCAGGGTTGTTAAAGTTAACTAAAGCTAAAATTAAAACAATTAAAAACATAACATTTTTGTTATTTGAAATAAAATAACCATTATCTGAAATAAAATAATATATAGAAATGTGGTTTTATTTCAATTAGTTGGCAAGGCAACGTTTCTCATTTTAATTTAGTTAAACTTGATGTACTAAAATAACTAAAACTGAAATGAAAATTAATAGAAAAAAAATTATATTTATATATATATAAACAAAACTAAAACAGCAAATATATAAAAATAAAAGATTCAAAGTATAAAAAAAAACTAAAATAACACTGTTTTGAATTAACTTTATTTTTCTAAGCACATTGGCAGATATTTGTATTTTCTTGTTTTAAGCAAAAACTCACTTGAATTTGATGTTTTTCAGCCTTGATTTAAGAATGTCTAGATATTTGTACTGAAAACAAGACAAAAATACTGAGTAAGAAAATCATTTTCCTATTCAGTGTAGCTGATCTGTACAGACGGGGCATACAGAGGCTAATTTGACAATCCTTTAAATATTGACGGTATTTATAGCGTACTATGTTTAATGATGTACTGATCTGTATACCTGAAGCTTTTTATGCCAGGTGTTGATATATATTATACTAGCATGTTTGACACGTCAGTCTGTATGATACGTTGTATATATTTTTGTTGAAATAACTTATCAAACTTTTACCAAAGAACAATCATACAAGAGCAGTCTGTATGGAGTAAATGTACGTTGCTGTAAATGTATTGTAAGAATAAAACCTTAATGATTTCAACCAATGCAGTGGTTTATGATTCTGTGTAGGTAAATATTAATAGTGCACTTGAGCCACCTGCTGGACACATACAAGCAGCACAGACTAAACTTTAATGCTCATGATTATTTCATATTTTTGGACAAACTTTCTTGACGCAAAACATAATTTCTTATTTCTTTCCTTTGAATTTGGGGTGAAATATGACCTGAACATGTTCAGATTCAGCTGAATAACCAGCGTAATCAAAGAGTAATACACATGATTCTTTTATTGCCACCAATCATAAAGAATAGGAATAATTCATACAAGCAGAGGTTGAATTCTGTCGCCTGTTTCATGGCCTGTGATCAAACGCTCAGTGGAAGGTGCTTCGACTACTGCGCTTTCAAGAGAAAAGCACAATAGTACAAATAAAAGGCACGTTTTCCTGAACATAACTCAGGATGGCAAAGCAACACTTGTTTGCAAATCAACTATATTTTAGTAATGAATAATTAAGATTTGGGATTGTTTTGTTGCGGCATTGCAAAAACAGTTAAACCACCACTGATTAGTTGGAGTCAGTTTAATGGGTGTAATATAATAGAACATCTTTCCCTAACATTAGATAAAAAAAACTAAGTTCAGTGGCATTATGCTGGGATTTGGCAGCTTGCATTTTGGGAAAAATGACCATCACTGGAAAAATCCAAACTAGAAATTAGTGAAAAATCATGTAAAGATTTAAGGAGCTTAAACTGAACTAGTGTTTCTTTTCAAACCCTTCTGCTGATTCACCATGAACTGTGATTTAGTTTTGGCTAGAATAATGTAACTGACTCACAAAATAGATGACGATATATTATATTAAGCAACAAAAATATGCATTTTATGTATATGCACATGTAAAAGTACTGATTTGATCTTGTGCTGTCAATTTTGCAGTGAAAAGATGAAGTGTGAGATTATTTTCCTGTATGTTATTTAGCATTTAATCAATTAAATTGAAATTATTTAAAATAAATCTAAAACCAAATCAATATTTCTTTCATTCATCCTGTGCCTCCAAATCAATATTTCCAGAGTTTAATATCACAAAGTTCAATACATAAACATCATGTGTTGTGTTTGTGTGAGAAAGACAATATTCAAAGTGATGCAATAATGCAAACGATATATTAAATGATCATATTAAAATTTAGAGAAAGAAAAGAGATCCACAATATCAAATATAATATATTAGACTACAAAACCTATTTCACGTGAATGCAAATCACAATTTATGGGTGAATCTCCCTAAGAAAGGTCATATTTCACTCTGCCAAAAAAATGAAGAAAATAAATTATATTCAGCATAAAGAAAATTAAGCCTGTTTGTAGGGACATTCATATTTTTGGGATTATTTTCATGACAATAAGCTTCACTGACAAATATAATTTTTTTCTTGATTTTGAGGTCATCAAGATTTTTCATTCAAGACATTTTTATGAGATTCCCCCTTATTTATGCCGGATAATTTTACAACCTAACCCTTTTTGTAATTACATTGGATGAAAAAAAGAATAATATAATAATATTCAGCATAAAGAACATGAGGCCTGTTTGTTTTTCATGACAATTAGTTTATGTCTTGGTGCTATTTTCCAAACAGTAACTGTATCAGATTGCCAAATAAGTAGCAAATAAATTATATCCAGCATAAAAAAAATGAAACCTGTTTGTATGAACATTAATATTTTTTTGCATCATTTTCATGACAATTAAGCTTCAATGTCTTTATGAGAAAAATATAATTTTCTGTTGATTTTGGGGTCAGTTTCTTGATTTTTTTTTTAAAGATTCACCCTTATGCATGAAAACTTTACAAGTTCATATCTTAGTGCAATTTCCTAAACAGTAATTATATATAAAAGAAAATTAATTTTAGCCAGCATAAAGAAAATGAAACCTGTTTGTAGGAACATTAGCATTTTGTTGCATTATTTTCATGGCATTTAAGCTTCAATGTCTTTAAGAGAAAAATATGATTTTATGTTGATTTTGGGGTCAATTTCTTAATATTTTGAATTTTTCGCCCTTATGCATGAAAACTTAGTGCTATTTGCAAAACAGTAATTGTATCAAATGCAAGTTTCATTGATCTAAAATGTGGATTTAAAGGGAAACACAAAATGCAACAGAAGCATGTGACTCGTGGCTAAAGTGGTGAAGAATCCAGTAATATTCCAGTTTGTCCAGTAATTAGACTGTGCAACAAAGACCGTCTCTCACACAGAAAAGCGTTGATTGTGCTATTCATTTAGAACCGTTTAATTGAAAATAATCATCAGAAGAAGAATTATAATACCAGTGTGTGTGTTTGTGAAGCCCACAGTCAAACCATGAAAGCCAGAACCCATAGAAACATCCAAGGTATAAAGTAAAGGCCCGAGCCGAGCGACTACACACCTCTGACACGTTTAAAGAAGGAGCTAAACTCAAGGAATACTGGGAAAGCATAAATATTTTACATTGTGAGCACACAAAAGCACCTCCGCTGGGGCTCTGGATGCTAGCAACAATGACCACAAGTACAATTAAAGTTTCAAGTCATGCGAGAGCCACAGGTTTCAATGTCATCGAAAAATGAAGATACTTTAAAGCCGTGTGTGTGTGCGTGTGTGTGAGAGAGTATGTGTGTGAGAGAGTGTGTGTGTGTGAGAGAGAGAGAGAGTGTGTGTGTGTGTG